TCTTTTAAGTTGTTATTTGAGATAAGAACTGGATAGATACATTTTATCCTGAATTCTCTGGTCAGTTTGACAGTTTTATTGGACCTGGTGAGGGGATGTGTCTCTGTTTAGTGTTTGTGTGTGTGTTATTTGGTTCTTAGGGAGTGAGTGAGTATGATATGTGTAAGCGTGTGTATTGCTGTAGGTGTGTGTTATCATTTGGCTCATTAGGGAGTGGGTGAGTATGGTGTGTGTACGTGTGTATAATCGTGTGGGTGAGTGTATAAGTGTGAGGCCTCCATTCCTCCGTAAGCATGTCTGTCTTGTGTGGGTGAGAAATGTGGGTAGGTTTTGATTTGTTGAGTTATATATTGTTACTATTATATATTGTTAAATTTATGATTTAGCCCGGCTGGGTATTTTGTTTTTAGACGTTGTATCCACTTATTTTCATGGGACTCTAAAATCTTTCTAATGTTATCTGCTCTGAACTTTTCTATTCTCTCAATTATAGTGAATCTGGCATGGGTTTTGAAATCGTGTTTTTCTAGGCGGAAATGTTGTTCTACAGGTAATAATTGTTCATAGGGAGTCGACTTAATTCGATTACGATAATTATTAATTCTGTAGTAAAAGGGCCATTCAGATTTTCCTACATATTGTTTCTGGCATAGTGTGCATTCTAGGAGGTAAATTATGTTTTGACTTCTACAGTTAGAATCGTGGTAGATTTAGTGATTGAGCTAGTGAATGAATTCGTGTTTTTAATATGGTTGCAACATAAACTTCTTTTGTTGTTACATGGTTGGGAAAATCCTGTTGTTTTTGTTCTCAGTTCCTTACTGATTACCTTGTCCCCTGAAATGTGGTTACTACCTATGATTTCTTTTAGGTTCTTAGGTCTACGATATGCAAGAAGGCCGGGTTCCTTAAGCAGTTTTTTTTAGGTCTGGTTTGAGATGTAGTATTTCCCAGCGACGTTTGATTATTTGGGATAGTGGAGGCAGAGTGGGATTGAAAGTGGTTACTAGAGGGATGCGGCTAGATTTATTTTTAATCTTGTATATTAGGGTGTCTTCTCTAGGTGTGGAAATTGCTTTATTTATTTGTTCCCTGATTAGGTTTTGTTTATAGCCACGTGTTGTGAATTGATGTTCCAGATTTTCAATGTGTTTATTTAATTCTTCATTGTTGGAACATATCCTTCTGAGTCTAAGTGCTTGAGAATAGGGAAGGTTCTCTTTGAGGTGTTTAGGGTGGGAAGACTTAAAGTGTAGATAGTTGTGGGTGTCGGTGATTTTAGTGTGTAGTGTCGTTTGTAGTTTCCTGTTTTCATCTATGTAAATGCTGGTGTCTAAAATATATATATATATATATATGCGGGTGTCCTAAATATATATATATATATATATATATATATATATATATATATATATATATATATATATATATATATATATATATATATATATATATATATATATATATATATATATATATATATATATATATATATATATATATATGCATGTTTCATTAAAAACGACAGACAAGGTACTACGGTTGAGCTTTTATTTAATTTTTCTTGTGTTCTGACAAGAGCTTTTCTTTTCTGGACAAAGAGTGTGTAAGAACTGTCCGAATGTTCTGTATTTCCGAGCGCTTTCGGCTATACCTTTAGCCATTATCAAGGATGATTCAATTATCAGCTTTGTAGAGTGTGTGTGTTCTGTGTATGTTCAGTGTGTGGTAGTGATGTTTTTAGTTTCCGAATACGGTTAGCACACATTGGCTTTGTTCATAGTTAATATTGTTAAGAGTTGGCTTTTTTTTTTTATTATTAGAGCTTCCATTATTTTTAGTCTTTTTTGCAAGTGGATGCAGTTAATATATTAGTGTTTTCTACTAGTATGTTCCTAATAGTGTCGGGTAAATCTGAGTGTGTGTTTAAATGTGTTCTGATGGAACTGTGATCAGATAGGTGTAATGTAAGACGTCTGGATAAACATGTGGTTGTGTAGCCGATGTAATTATTTATGAGTCCGGTTTGGTGAAGAACGCAGTTCCTTAAAGGGCATTTGAACTCATAGATAATGTTCGTTCTTTGTAATTTTGACTTAGTTGGTGTGTTGTTATTTTTGAGGATAAGGTTGGCCGTCTTAAATTTTTTATAATAGATAATAAGTTTGATTTTTTTATTCGGATCAATAGGAGTAGTATATTTCTTTATAATATGTCTTAGAGAAGATTCCGTATTCGGAAACTAAAAACATCACTACCACACACTGAACATACACAGAACACACACACTCTACAAAGCTGATAATTGAATCATCCTTGATAATGGCTAAAGGTATAGCCGAAAGCGCTCGGAAATACAGAACATTCGGACAGTTCTTACACACTCTTTGTCCAGAAAAGAAAGCTCTTGTCAGAACACAAGAAAAATTAAATAAAAAGCTCAACAGTAGTACCTTTTCTGTCGTTTTTAATGAAACATACATAAAGGAAGGATTGCTGCCTAAATATACAAAAATATATAATATATATATATATATATATATATATATATATATATATATATATATATATATATCCTTTCTGCTTCTTTTCTTTATTTTAAAAAAAAATATTTCTGGTAATTTTTGATTTCCTGTTGGCATCGGTAAATTGAAGCACGGTGTAGTAATGGTTAGCGGCTCCGATTGAAGAATCGGAGAGCCGAGTTCGAATTCCAGTCGAATCCATTACATTCACTTACGTGCTAATACGCTTGGGAAAGGTATGAATCCTCTTTTTCTCCCCCTAGGTATGGGTAAATAGCAGGACAGTTAGAATAGCTAGGACAGTTAGATAAAAAAGAAATGGCAACCTACTGCGGGAAAACATCTACCTCGTCAGTCATGTATCGAAAGATACATGATTGCCTGAGCGTGTATCACGCATGGAACATAACAGAATTAATTCAATGATTAGAATGCATATGACATTTTTTGTACACCCTTGTTAACGAAGTGGATCCAAAGCTTCGCCAAATTATATATTAATTGTAATTATATATTAATTGTAATAGGACCTTAGTAAAGAAAAACATGCCAAGATAAAAAAGAACTTTTTAATCTAAATTAATTACCTTCTTAATCTCTACTTTTTTCTTTGAATTTCTTAAGTCAACTACAGCAGTGAACTACCACAAACTGAAACAGAAAGGAAAAATCTTTGCTCTCAGCGGAACGAGATTTGAGATAGGCAGGATATGCACGATGAGTTGACCTTTAATAAAGAACGCCATGACGTTAGGGTTAGGATTAATCTACCTAACAAGTACTACCGAGTAGCGAGTTCGATACTCACTGGATGCCCCATACAAAATTTGACATTAATTAACCCAATAACGGTTGACATTTTATAAATGAATCAACGTAATCATTACTACTAAGGAATGAAGTCAATCCTCACTTGGTACCCCACAGACGATTCGACATTAAATACCCACAGCAAGGGATATCGTAAAATTAACCAGCCTAATCTAATGTCAAATAAATAATTCAAAAAATAAATAAAACTGAAATGTTTATATTTTCTGCACGAGTAATCAAGAAATTTTTATCTATACAGCTGTCATTTCATGCAAGAAAGAACTCTGCTTATTTAAGTTCATTAAAAGTAAAAACAGGCAAAGAAAATTCACAAGAAACAAAAGAAAAAAATCTCCCCTACTTATAAATAAGATAATCTATAGTTACGGTAACAGGTGACATGTTGGCTTAGCGGCGTTGAGTAATACCTTCTTTTAGCAACGTCATATCTCATTAAAAAGAGAAGATCAGGCTCAGTGACGAATATTTATAAAAAGTCAATTTCTGTTTAAAATTCTAGAATAATAAGATGATTTGAATATACTATGTGTAGGAAAGTGGGAAGAAATGACTAAAAACCCAAGATTAATGCTTCGAATTGGAAATGTCAAAATCAAAAAAAAAATCGTTAGAAGCAAAGAAAACAGTGCTGGATCAGTATGTAATATCAATCCTTCTATATGGCTGTGAATGCTGGACAATTTCTCCACAGATGAAGAAGAGACTTGAGGCAAAAAAAAATGTAGTTCTACAGAAGGATGCTGAAAAAACCATGGACGGAGTCTGTGCGCAGCGAGGAAATTATAAGGAAGATTAAAATAAAAAAGACACTTATACTTAGTACCAGAAAGCGACAGTTGAAACTTTTGATACACATAATGAGAATAGAGAGCTTGAAGAATTTGACACAAGAAGAAGAGGAAGAGGTGAAGGAGGAGGCGGGGGGGATAAATAATAATAATAATAATAATTTTGTCCTGAATTACTCAACGGCTGAGTCGGTCTAAAAGCAGGACGGGTCGGGCTATTAAGAAAACAAGAATCTCATAACAGCTGCCCATTTGTATAAAAATAATAGAAACATGTTTTTTTTACTGAAATACATCGAAGAGTAAGTCGTCTCAAGAAACACATAAATCCCCCGCAGAAATATTAGATAGATGAGGACAGATTGATATATATATATATATATATATATGTGTGTGTATGTATGTATAAAAACTCAAACATATATTATTAGATATAACAGACAACGAATGTCTATTATGTTTGATCATGAGCCGTTCTAAACTTCGTACAGTTGCTTTAATTTCGGGAGAAAATAAAGATAAAGATGTTTGACTTTATTTTCGCCCTGAAATTAAAGCAACTGTATGAAGTTTAGAACGGCTCATGATCAAACATAATAGACATTCGTTGTCTATTATATCTAATAATATATGTTTTTAATAATAATCTGCTGCCCCAATACACTATATATATATATATATATATATATATAGAGAGAGAGAGAGAGAGAGAGAGAGAGAGAGATGAACAGATTGAGAGAGATATTAACGGATTGAGATAGATATATATGAACATGGAGATAGATATGAATATATATATATATATATATATATATATATATATATATATATATATATATATATGAATATATACTTAGATAGATAGATATGAACAGATTGAGATAGATATGAACATAGATTGACAAATATGAACAGATTGAGATAGATAGATAGATAGATAGATAGATAGATAGATAGATAGATAGATAGATTGATAGATATGAACAGATTGAGATAGATAGATAGATAGATAGATAGATAGATATGAACAGATTGAGATAGATAGACAGATATGAACATAGATAGATAGATATGAATAGATAGATAGATATGAACATAGATTGATAGATATGAATAGATTGAGATAGATAGATAGATAGATAGATAGATAGATAGATAGATAGATATGAACATATTGAGATAGATAGATAGATAGATGCGAATAGATGGAGATAGATATGAACAGATGGAGATAGATAGATAGATAGATAGATAGGATCACGATTGTTATTAAGCTTGTTTTGAATACCAGTTTGCTTGTGTCGTGTGTTCGACAGAATGAGATCGATGAAAAGAAAGCAGTGGAAGAAGATCTCTCATTGTTACTTCAAATCATTTCACTGTCCGTAATTCTGTCATTTCTCTCTTCTTGTCAGTTTCGTTTCTTTCTCCTTTCATTCTATACATCGGCTCCTCAACCCAATGTTCTTTCTTCCTTTATCAGACCCAGCAACCAGTCGATCGTTTTTTTTATTCTTCTCTTGTGGTCGAGCGAAATCAGGTTAAAGGTCAATAGTTAACCACAAGCAGAGAACAAGAAAAAAAAAAACAAAAAAACAACGACAACAAAAAACAAAACAAATAAACATCGATCGAGAAAAGGTGGAATAAAAGTAAAACTAACGAAACAGAATAAAACCCCGGATGTAATGATGTCAGAGTTTGGTCGAGCGATCGATCAGCACTCGTGTATATTTCGGCGCAATAATAAAAAGAAAACATCTCGTATTTAAGATATACACAGTGTGATATCCATTCATCAATCACACTGATAGAACACATCTATGTGTTAATGAGATATTCCGTTATTCCGGTTGCTGGAAGCATTATATGAATATGAATTGTTTATAACGATAAAAAGAAATCATCTAGTTAGTCTATAATATAAACACATTGTGACTTTATATATTTATTAAGCACGCGGATCAAACGCACTTATTTCTAATGAGATATTCCGTCATTCTGGTAGCAGAAAGTATTATATGAATAATGATAAAAAGAAAACATCTAGTCTATAATATAAACACGTTGTGATTTTATTTACCTGTCAATCACGCAGATCGAATACGTCTATTTTTTAATAAGATATTCTTTGTTAGTATGTCGTGTTTTTATTTCCTATACGAAAATGACTCCTCTGTTGAATATGGTTAAAGTTTTAGTCGAAAGCACTTGGGACAATACGGACAGTTTCTATGCATTCTTAATCCTTATTCTATATATAAAATTCTGTAACTTCCGTTAGTCGGTCCGTCCGTCCGTCACACCCTCTAAAATAACCATACATTGACTGACCAAAAGCAAATTTCGAGAAGTGCAAACAGGTAAGGGTTGGTTTTACTAGGGTACGCAGCTTAGTACAATAAATTTTCATTATTATTTTTTTTTCTTTTGCAAAATTAAAAGTTTTATTATTTAACATATAAAATACTCCCACTATTTTAAAAACAAATTAATGATTAAAATAACAAGTACTTATTTAATAAAAATGCAATATTGTTTTTATATATTTTTTTTTATATATATATATATATATATATATATATATATATATATATATAACAATTCAGTTTTTGTTAACACAAACATTGTATGAACGCTAGATAAATTGAATTAAAAGCTAAAAATATACCTTGTCCGTCGTATTCAATGTAACACATACACACATATACACACACATGCATATATATATATATATATGTGTGTGTGTGTGTGTGTGTGTGTTTGTGTGCAAAATAGATAGGTTAGTTAATAAAACAAGGGTAAACGAAAGGGTACCAATGTGATCAGTACGAAATTTATTTAATTTAATATTAATTATTAACCACAAGATAGGAATGAAGCGTAGAAATTAAGGTTTTAAGTCCGGAATTTTCGGGCACGCCTGTGTCCTTTATCAGCGGTGCGAGAAATAAACAGAGCAACGGATAAGACTCAACAACGGTTGTCCTTGTGGCTGGTATGAATCCTGTTGTAGATCGTATTATTAGTAAAAATCCGATCTCTGTCTGATTCCTCGCGTGCGAAACTTTTTTTTTTTTAAAATAAACTTAGATTACAAAATTAGAATCGGTGTGAAGGTGTTAGGCTGTTTTATCTTTTATCGGTGTGGGTAGTAGGGGGAGTGAGATTTTGTACATAGAGGAAGAAGGTCATAGGATTTGGGGTGGGGAAGACGTCCTGTGTGTGCTGAGAGATTTGTCCTGGTAGGAAAAGTGTGTGGCAAAAGGCAATAAAAATAAAATGAAAGAGTAAAAAGAGAAAAGGAACAGCAAAATAAATAAATAAGAAAAAGGTAAAATATTTTCATAAAAAATTCTTTTGGAAAACCATTGTTAGAAAATGGGGGATACGGAATACAAAAAAATATAATAATAATAATAATAATAATACTGGAAAAAAGAGGGGGAAAGCTCATACAAAAATAGATATGCTGTGTGCATAAGTGCAACTAACAGTGCGCAGATATACACTAGCTACCGCATAAACTTGCGAAATCATAGGTATCAGAGCAGAAAAATATAGTAGGTGGGAAAATGGCTATTAAAATTTTGATTTAAAATGTGTGTGTGCGAGGGTGGGGGCATACTCATTCGAGGAGTGGTGTTTCCTTGTGGAAATTATACTCTTTGAGTAAACTCAAATCTCCGTTTCATCCTTTTATACATATATATGGGGTGGGGCATAATCTCTTTGTATCCTTGTAAGTATTTAACTAGAATAAAATAGAATGGGATGAAGATAAGGGATGAAAAAATGCACAATTTACGTTAGAAGCAGATAGAATGGTATTATTATTATTATTATTATTAATAATAATAATCCGTCAATAGCTGAGAATGCGCAAGTGAAGCCTAGGAGATACAACTATCTTTACTGACAAGCGCTTGGAGATCAGTCACCCTGATATCACACTTCTGGCCCAAGAGAAGTCATCAATGGATCCTAACAGATGTTACTGTACTTTGGGGATAAGAACATCGTGAAGGGGGAGCAGGCAAACATACAGAGGTACCAAGACCTAGCTGGGCAAATCGAAGAAATGTACAAATCAGCAACTCAGTTCGACCCTTTTGTAATTGGCGCATTCTAGACTATTTCCAAGAATTTTACTGCCTTGCAAGAAGATGGCTTGGAAATACCTGACATTATAAGGAGTGCACAGGTGGCAGCCTGGTACTGACTCTGATGTGACTACAATCCGCATACCATGGAAAACTTTATCGTATTGGACGAATTCATAGAGTCACCGGCGGTGTACTCTTTACTCCACTACAGAAATAATTGACCATCTTGTATTAGATTGCACGTTAATTGCACCAATTGAATATAAAACCCGACATGACAGAGTGGGCCAATATCTACATTGGAAAATATGCAACTTTTAAGAAAAGAAAACTGCAAGAAACTGGTATGAACATCACCCACACCCAGTTACAGAGATAGGACACACAGACAGAACAATCAAAGCTAATCACCCAGACATCGTGATTAGAAACCATAAAAACAAAATATTATTATTACTTATTGATATTGATAGTCACTGCAAACTGTAATATATCTTTGAATATCTTCAAAAAACTATTAAAATACAAGGACCTTGAAGAAGAATTCTCAGAAATGTGGCACATGAAGACATCAATTATTCCAGTTGTAGATGGCACCCTCTGATTGATAGGAAAAGTGTTTGATAGCCCAAGACTTAAAGAAAACAAAAAAAGAAAAGAAAACAAAAAAAAAAAACAACAAAAAAACAATTGTACTTACAAGTACAGCTCACATCTTACGAAGGGCTTTATCTATGTAAAATGTTTGTGATCTTTTTTTTTTTTTTATAAAAATGATCAGAGGAAAATGTCATGAAGCCATTTGGGACACGGAAAGAAATGTGTTTTCACTAGAAATCAAAGGAATAATAATAATAATAATAATAATAATAATAATAATAATAATAATAATAATAATTTCCCGGTGTCGTTTTGCAAAAGTCTGGAAATAAAGTAAAATTAATTAGCATCGGTCTAAGAAAAACGTAATCTTTGGTCGCAAAGTAAATTTCCGACCGGGGAGATTATAGCATCTTCGTCGCTGTGAAAGACAGCATTTAACCTTGCGAAATGATGATCATGCTTCGAAGCCGATAGCCGGCCATCATCATCAACCCTCTCACCCAGTTATATTCATTTCAATAAATTTAATCTGACGACGTCAAAACGGAACTTGTATCACACGTTCGCATTCCCGGCTCTCTCTCCTCTCCCCCCCCCGCCACTTTAATGCACACTTCTGTCTTCTCCGCCTCTCGTTCACAATTCTTTTTGCTGCCGTGCCATTATGAACGCATTTTAACATTCTTCGCTTTCAATGGATGTCCGTAGACACAGAACAGGCAATGGAACACTGCAGTTAGATATACGGCCAAGGGGAAAGAAAATTGCCCGGTGGGAGAGAATGTTTATTGGCAACCCAACAAGGGGCGCTTATCGTGGCAAGCAAGACAGTCTAACAAACGAATTCGCAAGTGTAGTGAGTACGATGCTCACTAATGTGGCCTTAAGCCAGAACTAAAGATCGATAAATATTGTCTCGCCATAACGTAGCGGTAAACAAACCAGATCCTTACACTATACGTCACACACATTTGGCCTTGTGCCAGACTAAGGCAAGTTTAATAAATAACTATTAGCAGGGTCGGTGCAATCATGCTTTCCCCTCACTCCCGGTTGGGAGAGGGTTCGATAGAAATACGCACTGAAAAAAAAAACAAAACAAAAAACAAAACAAACTTTGAGCTACACAATAAAAATTAAAAACGTGACACAAGGTAGTTTATTTAATTTGTGTGTTTTCTTCTGGGGACGGGGGTCTGTTTAACCATAGGACACTGACGCAAAGTCGCTTCTTTAAATGCGAGCAAAAACCCCCAAAAATGTAATTAAATTGCAGATATCAAGCAACGCTCTTCTCCTCACCTCTTTAGGTTTAATAAGGTGGTGTTTGCAGAGGATCGCGTGCCAAAAGTCATATAGTTGTGCTTCAAAGCCAACGGCCAGAAAAGTTATAAGGCTTCTACACAACTAATGAACAGTGAGAGAGAAATGAGGCGTAAAGATAACAGTGTTGAGAGAAGGCATTTTGGCCTGGCGTTTAGAAGAAATGGTACGGTAGAATAGACTTGGCAGAAAGGGAGAATGTTTGGATTTTACTCTCATCCTCAGGTAAACAATAAATCCTCGCAGCCATTATCTTCAGCAAGTTCCATTCACAGAAAGGGTATATATATATATATATATATATATATATATATATATAT